CCCGCCGGCACGGCAAGCACCGGCAAGACCCCCCCAAGGGGCAGGACGTCGGCACGGCCCCGCGCACGGCCCCTCTGCCCCGGCAGGACGGCAAGGACTGCCCGGCCGGCACCCCCCAGGGCAGACCATCAGAGCAAAACCCCCCGGGGCACCAGCAGCACCGGGACCAGGCCCAGCGGCCCGGAGCTTCTCGGCCTGCACTGGCACTGCTAGTCCTTAGTAATCAGAGAACGACGTCAAGTACCGAGTGCAACTATTGTGGATACTGTTTGGAGCACACTGTCCTCGCTTCATGGATTTCATAGTTCAATTCCTTATTAACTAGGTTTAAATATCTAGTTCAAATTACATACTTACTGTAAATGGAGCCTTGTTTTATTTCAATCAAATACAGATTTTTTTTTTTTGCGGAACAGAGGTAATTGTGACTTAGTCTGTGATGTGACTAATTGTAAACTCCGGGATATTCTCCCAAGTTTTTCAATATTGCAACATATGATACCATCATGAATCATAATCTTCCACAGCAGGGAAGACTTAAAGCTTTCAATCTTGTCTAATTGAAAAAACACAGTCTTTTGCAAAACTTGTAGTTCACACTTCAGCATTTGTTTTGCTCATCACCTTGGCAACATCTTCACATACCTTGAACATTTTCAAAATCATGGAATTATTTTCTTAGAACACATTGGTAAAACTGAAGCAATACCACACTGTGTATGAAACTCTTAATTATTTGTATTTTATCCCATGTTTTAGTTTGTTACTCATTTTATACTTCAGAAAAAGGAGAGAGTGAAGTCACTGAAAATGGGTTAAAATATGACAAATGCAGTTAACTATACAGTGAAAAAACAGTAACATTATTAAAAACTTGAGATATATTTCTACAAGCACTCAGTTACTACTGGATGGAGAAACCACGGCAGTTCTGATCTATGAGAATGCATCTCAACTCAAAAATATTCCAGTACCAAAATGCAAAAAAAAGCTCCTTTCACATTCTTGTTAAGAAGTTGGTGTCCCTTTCCTAAATAAACACGTAAAATCAAAATTACCAAGTGTATTTTACACAGGGGAAGCGAAAGTTTCCTTACCGCCGAGCGATATAGTAGAAAACAGGATTGCCAGCTTTTGATGTCCCAGCTTGGTAGAAAATATTTAATGTTTTCAGTGCTTTGAACTCCTCTTTTTCATGTACCTGATGCCTAAAAAATGGTACATTGTGAAAAGTTGGTGTCAAGGAACGTGACAATAAGCAAACAAACAAAAAAACCCTCCCGCTCCCCTTCTTTACTTATATCTTTGGACAAAAGTGTAAGTTCACACAATTCTGAATATTTTAATACTATGCAAATTATTGCTTTTAAGGTTTTCAATTTAATTTTGGACCCACAAATTAAAGTCTCACACCAAGAAATACAAAATATTTGTAGCAGCAGCTTTTTAAACTTCAAAATGAAAGCTAGGACAATAACTACTTATAGTACCAGACATGCTAAGGTCTAAAAAACCCACAAGGCACTCTTCCCTCCACAATAATCTCATTACCTTGTCATAAATTCTTCAAATTTGGAGCTAGTGAGATTTAAACTGGACCAATGAGTGTCTGCCACAGGTTTGTGCTCTGGAGGACCCAGATAGGCAAGAAGAGTGGCCATTTTGTCAAAAGGTCGCCTGCCGACAGCCTTGTGGTCCCTAGAAAGAGCAGATTACATGAAAGGCAAGTCTTTCACTACTCAGCATTTCTGATCTTTGACCAATACCTTTCTTTACCTTTAACAGGCTAAGTTTAAAGCAAATTGTGGTAACTGAAGTAATTAGAAAAACCTGTTACCATCTAACAAACACTACAAAACATATGACAGACATTAGCGTTCAATTTAATACTTGCATAAAAGCTTGGCAGGAAAGAGGGCAACAGTTCTGCAAATTTCCCAACAACAGGTTTTCAGTAAGACAAAAGAGGTCCCAAAGGTGCAACCTTCTGCCATGATGTTCTTCTGAGTTCCTACCAGCAACTCCTTTCTCCACAAAATTTCCAAAACCTTACCTGTTGCTGGAAAGGTACTGGCCAATCTTCTCCTGATTGTTCCACAGCAACCGGTGCAAAGCGAGCACATTGCCATCACTGATGAATGACAGGCTGTGGTTGACGGTGTCACTAGCCGGACAGTCGGATGCAATATCAAGGAAAAACCTGCAGTGAAAACCAGTTGTTCCCATGAGCAAAGAAGCAGCTGAGTAGTCTCAATACAGGCTAAAAGGCTACAGGCACACGGTGCCGCTCACTGGCTATGCAAGACCAAGGCTCTGCATAGTTGCCCAAGGGCCTACCTTCGAGCTGCGTCAAAATTGCTTTTGACAAAATCGTTAAAAGGCCGCATATGTTCTTCTTTTGTAAACAGGACATGGTTGGCAATACTCTGAAGGATCTAGAGAACAAAAAGATAACGCCACATATAGGTTTAATATATCAACTGCTAGGGCTGTCAGCATAACTTCACTGTCAAAAACCCCCATTTTATCTTACTGTGAAACTTTAAAACAAAAGTCACAGAAACCAATAAACGCATAATACTTTCACTACACTTTCACTTTTGAGATATTTCTTTTACAGATCTATTAGAAATAATATTAATTATCCTTCACTTATTCATGAATCTCAATTGAGTTTTAAATAGGAAAGCTGCTGCATTTTGAATACACTGTTGGGTCTTATTTCATCTGGAAATTTTACAGACATATCTAAATGCAGTAACATAGGCACACAAAGGCAATTACAGCCTTTCAATATTTAAAATGGATAACACACATGAGCCACAAAGGTTATGCAACATCATTAGGGCTTCATTTATTCATTTATTTTTTCACTTATTAGCAGGAAAATGACACAAGTCTTGAGACTAAGGATAGTGAAAAAGACTTCTTTAAAGCTAGTGGGATTTTTTAACAAATATCTGGCTAAAAAAAATTTCATTATTGAATAAATTATGTTAGTTTAGAAACTAAGACTAAGAGCTCAAAAGAAAGATGTTAACCAATTTGGAAAAATGTTTCTTTTATACCAATTTGGAAAAAATGTTTCTTCCATCAGACCTTTCCCCATAATAGTTAAATTGCTGCAAGTTACGACATTAATATGTGTAATTATAGCAGAAACCCTTGCTTAAATAAGCGTAATTTTTGGTAGAAATAGCCACAAGTTGTAACAAATTTTCTCCCTACCTATTCAATCATTTGAAGAAATCAGCTCAAACAGAAACCCGCGCCGGCTCACCTTTGACATGAGTTTCAATCCCCTCTCGATCCTGGGGGGAGGCTTCTTGTCCAGAATGCCGGCCTCGTAGGGCGAGACGATGGCGGGGTTGATGAACCGCAGGAACATGGCGCTGCCGACCGCGCCGATGCTGTTCTGAGGGAACCGCTGGCTAACTACCTGCAAGTTGGAATTAGGAAAAATATTTCTGCGTTAAAGAAAGGAGAAGAAAAGCTGAAAAAAGTCCTGCAGGATAGTCCAGTTTTAGGCACTCTCTCCACACCATTCAGGATCAGTAGGTTTGGGTAGGATTAGCCTGACCTGACAGGTCATCATACAGCAGGCAGAAAAGAAAGGGGGAAACAGAGTAAGTGGGGGCCACGCGGCAGTACCAGGTGCTGCCTAATTCTGCTCCAGCTTTAGACAAAAGGTTTCTTGACGCGCGGCCCCTCGGCCTCTACTGGCACGGCATGACAGTGCAAAAACAAATTATATTGAAATTCTTCAGAAAACAGAGAAAGTTATTAGCACATACATAACAGATCAAAAACCATTTTGTTCCAAAAGCAATTTCATTTACAGTTATCTTGTGGTGTAATTACTAATAACATTTTTGTGTGAAATATTAGTTTAAACATAATTACTGTACTGCTCAGTTACAGGAAAAATATAAGGGAGTATTTAATGAAAGTTTAAATTTCCATTCTGCCTCTGTTTTACGCAGAGAAATCATACATTGTATTTTAAGGTCATTGTCAAAAGAACATGATAAATCTTAAAGGACACCATTCTAACACATATATAAAAACAAACAGTATGACTAAGCTGACAACCTAAACTTCTTTCATTAACACAGCAAGTTTCTTAAAATGGGAAATAGGCTTGTCTTATTTTAGTAAATAAATACAAATACTAAATTGGATTGCAGAGTCACAAGGCAATCAAAGGAAATATATATTAGAAGCAAGTCACGTAAGTCTCTATTCCCTCTGGTGACCCACGTGTGTTAATAGTCCTTCTCCTAGGATGCAAGCTGCAGTCAAGTTATCTACCAAAGTGTTAAAACGACTAAACAGACTCGTACTTTCCCCAAAACCAAGAAAAATATTTTCTTTCGGCATTTTTTTTTGATTTGAAGATGGTGGCAAAAGCAGAAGAATCAGAACATTAAATACTGAGCAGTAAGGTTAAACATGTCTTTCTGTTTACTCAAATAGGCACACAGAGAATATTTTTAATATATAACTTAATTCCAGTATTAATTGAAATGGAAGCTATTTTGTGCCAGAATTAGTAGAATGATTTTACAGTGAAGGTCAAATAGACTGAAGTGAGGATGTTTTGAACAAACAGCAAAAGATTTCTGTTGTGCTTTGAAAGAAATGGCTAATAAAAAGGTCTCCAAACTTACTGATTTTTTGTTTTCCTTTTTTTCTTTTACGGTAGCTTTATTCAGTAGAGAGTGGCAAGTTGCCTACAGAACAGAGATGAGCACAAACAAGTCACAGCACCAACTACATACAGCAACAAAAAACCAATGTTGACTTGTACATAAATTACACAGTAAAATGTAACAAACATAACCAACAGAAAATGAAATATATAAACTAAAGACTGATGATGGAGTTTTATTCCACACATTCTTTTTATTACATCTTATTTACAAAGCACTAAATACAAAACAAAGCAAATGTTGCATTTCAATCATTTCTACTATTTCTGGCTAGATTAAACGTCAAACCACATTAATGTGCTCACGGAATACAATATTGGTCATTAAATGGTATATTCAGCTTTCAAATGTATTATACCTTTGAAATACATATTACTTTTAAAATAAATTTAAAGTTTTAAATCTTCCCAATGTTTCTCTGTGTGTCCTTCAATTTAGTAGGTCTGCAAGTCATCCTGGTTTTTGTGACTTTGATAGCTAAGCACTGCTGCAAAACCCTTCTGTGGAAAAAGGGTGGGAAACCAGCCGGTAGGTCTGCACCTAATTCATTAAGTTTCCAAATTGAGACATGTCGCTTGACTGTCTCCATTTCTGAATTTCAGTTCAGTTTGAAGCGACCCACCAAGCAGCATCACTCTCCTGTATCACACCAGGGTTTGGGCAAAGCCAACCCTGGACATCAGCCTTGCCTCCTGCTCCCCTCAGAGGGAGGAATTTGGCGCTGGCAGCTCAAGACCTTTCACATCAGCTGAAATAGTAAGTTAGCATCACTAAAAAGCTCTATACTGAACCAAAGTTGAGCTGTACCATAGGAAGGTGGCAGCATTCAGCAGGCTGAGAGCAAACACACAGAGCCAACAGTTCAAATAAACTTCAGAGAATCATACAAAAACTGGAAGAGAATTTCTACGATTTAAGAACATGAGAATGATACATGTCTTAGCAAGTAGTGAAGAAAACAACCAAGTTAAAATTACATAGTTTGGAAGTGTGCAAGAACTATTGATGTTTAAACAAGGGTTTAAATACTCCTCCCCAAACTGACTTTGCATACCTTCTGGAAAGAAACACAGCTAACTTCTGAAGCAGTCTCTAGAATATGAACGTGCAGAATTACACTGTGATGTACAAAACATCAGTGCATGAATACGCATGGTACTAGAAACAGTCAGAGCAGACAAGTTGAAGCAGGGTATCAGCCTGTTGAAAGACTCAAATTCACCAGATTCAGCTGACCACTTAATATTCAAAAAAAAAAAAAAAAACGCTCAGTTTTCCAGTTAATTCAATGTGGTTACTCAGCAAAGCTCAGTAAGGCATTTGGTTTCATGAGCAAACTACTCTTGTTACCAAAACAAGCAAAAACACTTGTTGATAAGCATCCACAAACTACTCTTGTTACCAAAACCATGTAGAAGCAAAAGCAAAAACACTTGTTGATAAGCATCCGGAAAAAGATCTGAGACCATGCTCTTTGGTATTCATGACTTGGTAATTCTATTTAATGTAGAAATTAAAAATGGCTTGCAGAGAAATAACTTCCTGCAAATAATTTCAAATTTGCTTTCAATAAATAGCAATAACTCTGATATCCTAGGAGCAGCACAGAAAAGCTACCTTAGAAAAAGACATGGCACAAAAGCAACTGCAAGTAACCAATGCAACACTGAACATTTTTAGCTGACCTTTTCCACGATAAAAAAAAAAAAAACCACTGTATGCAACCAAGCATGGTTTGTGCTCCTTCCTTCCTTCCAAACAGTTCAGAGAATCTACTTTCCTCCTTTTATTTTAGACCCTAAGATACAATTTCCTGCACGAGAGGCCAAAAGCAGCTTCCAGAGCACCTAACTGGGCGTGCAGCTCTCGATCTCTGCTCTACCAGCTCGTGTGTGGCAGCCCCTCTGTTTCCTATGGATCCTGGGGCAGCAGGGACAGGCCCCACGGGAGTTTTTAGCACCAGCCAAGCAGAGCAGAGAAGCAGAGAGCAGGCAGAGCGCTCTGCGAGCACACTCAGATTCACTAAACACACTCTTTACGGAGAGAACAACAAATATTTAAAACTAGCAGCCACACAAGGCAGCTGTTTAATTCACAGAGTTCGTGTTTATCGTCACCTATAAAGCCTTTTGGATAACACTGCCTTACATAGGACCAATTAAATTAGTTCCAAGTTCTTAACTGTCACTCAGTTCCTTAAAAAATAACAGTCACCTCCCGAATGCCAACCCAAACCCTAAAACACAGCTAAGTCCCTAAAGCTTAGACTGCTGTTTAAAAAACCTCTGAAAACAGTCCTTAAGATATGTCCATTATGCCCCCACTACTGAACTGAGCTCCAAACTGCCAGAACCAGAGGTTTGATTTTTATCATTACTTGAACAACAGAAATCAGACTCTGAGGATGCAGCCCCTCCACTGCGGCGTACCTGGTACAAGCAGTGGCACACACTGCGCAGCTGGGGCGGGAACTCGCAAGAGGAATTAATGATTGCATGAAAAAACTTTTCTGTCATTTGCAAGAGGCTCCGCTGATTCTCTTCAAGACTTTCTGTAGGCTCCAGCCTGAAACAGACCCATAAGTGTATGACTAGCAGTCAAGTAAAGCTGATCAGTTGCAACTGTATGTTCAGTGGTAACGTTATTTCAGAGGGTAAACAGGAATCCTACAGAAATATTAGTGACATTTTATACAAAAGGTTCCATTGATATTTTAACTATATAACATACTATGGATAGTTTCAAAACTTAGTAATAGACACCTAGAAATGGGATTCTTGCATCCCACTCCATACAGAGATACATACATATGTGGTAAGACGGTTGCATTATCAGTTTGATGATGGTTTCTCCAAAAGCAGTTTGAGGTAGACATAGTGTTTAAGTTTTAAAAAGGAGGCCTGTCTTTTGGCAAGCTACTAAAAAGAACATGGAAAGCTTTCCCAGACTCAGAGGGAGAGCAACACTTAGTAACTCCAAGCCTTCAAGGGGCATGAGCGAAATTAAGACAAATAAAACACAGCACCCAGTCGCTTTTCCTTTTGTAACAAATTCTGTGGCCTAAAGCAGATGCTCTTGGATACTACTGAAAATCCCCACACTTGCAGCCTATGCAGAGGTAGGAGGTAGCTAGTAGGAAAAGGGGCAGAGCAAGGAGCCTCTCTGAGGGCCTAACGTGGACATGCCACAGAACTCATCTCCCTGGGTCAGACAGCTCCGCACAGTGCGCCCTGGCTGCAAGGGCTGCAGGCACAAGGAATGTGCCCAGCAGAGCAAGGAGCGGAGAAGCACGACACAGGAAAATCGTTTACAGCAAGGGAAAGGGAATCCTACATCTAAGATGACTGGGAGACAAGTTTATTTATAAACACGTGTCCTCCCCCCCTTGTATCTCAAACCTTGTAGGATCCACCTCAAAGCTAACATGCTGCCATTCTGAGGAGGTGATCACAGTCCTTAATAAAGGTTCCAAAAGCTTCTGCAAGTACGTAGCACCATATACCTATGAAGAAAGAAAACCAGAATATGTGGCCATCCACAGCAGCACTTAACACCACAGGATTTGGTAGTCTTTTTTTTTTTAATAATTATATTTTGCTCTAACTCAAGTGATCTGTAGCAGAGATACAGATTAGGTAACATACCTTAAAACAGAAAGTCATTATTTTACTGGCTAAAAT